GGCGTGCTCACGTCTTGGAACCACTCGGGGGGGGTCTCTGTGGGTAAGGTCCTTCCCGGGGCATTGTCCCCCTAGGAAACATATATGACAAATTAGCTCTATTGTGAAGGTTTTTAATGCACTATGCCACCTTGGAAAAAACTAACAATGGTGGAATGTATCTAAGTACATTTACTAAGTACTGTACTTAAGTAGGAAACTTTTAGTACTTGAGTATTTACATTTTATGTTACTTTCCACTCCACTAAATCTCAGAGGAATATACTGTACTTTTTACTCCACTGCATAAATCTAACAGCTGTAGTTACTTTACACATTCAGATTATTAATATTCAATGTAATCAACTAATAAATGCAGTATTATCATAGATTAAACTACCCAGCAGTAGCCAATATAAAGTACTATGAAGTCATTAAAATGAGCACCTTTACCAGCTGCAACATTAGAGTGATGACCATATTAACGCATCCATTATTTTATAATTATTTATAATCCAGTATATATATATATGTGTATTATTCTGTGTTATAAACTTTTTTACTTATAGTACTTTAAGTATATGTTCATGCTAATGATGTAGTACTTTTACTTGAGTAATATTTTGAATGCAGGACCTTTACTTGTATGTTACAATGCAGGATTGCGACTTTTTAAGTTAGTTTTGGAGCCACGCTGGAACATAAAGTAGCATAATGTTATGCAACATGAGGTTTGTAAAATAAAAAATTAAAAACGGCACCTTCACTTTTGGATAAATACAAAAACATTGACACACACACACACACACACACACACACACACACACACACACACACACACACACACACACAGTCTCAGGGCAGTTTGTGAAATAGTCACGAAACAATCAATTGGTTTCGTGCTGAGCGACAGGAATCGTCCATTTCTTTCACGGTGAACTTCAAGTTTCGGGACGACATTACGCTACGACAACAGAAGTTAGAGTCAGGTAACAAAACCACTTAGTTAACCGTCACAAAAGCTTCACTTCACGACAACACTTTTGGACACATTGTGTTGAACACCGGTCTATTGGTTGAAGGTCCCGTGTTTGTCGGACACATCCAGCTCCCCTACCACCCACCATAGGTGGTCTTTCTCCATAGCTAACACTACCTCACTATGTCTGACCATGCAGAGTCACGTATATGCGTTTCATTTGAGTCCACCACAAAATAAATGATTTTAATTGACTTTCCGTTGTCATTGTTTTCGTGCTGAGCGACGGTAGTAGTGGTAGGATGGCCTTGATCCAGTGTTCCTCTACTCGGCCTTTTGTCTGTTGGAAATTCAACAGTCAATCTCAATGAAGGAATGCTTCAGTTTTTTAATCCCAGTAAATGTTAGAGGTATTGGGGTCAGGGGGTTAGTTTAGAAGGAGGGTGTCGGAGGAGAAGGCAGGTGAGGAACGAGGTGCCTGGTAATGGAGGGTTCTTTAATCTGTTAAACAATCGTATGTAACTTGTGTGGTACAGTGGTCAATGTGTCCACATGTGCTGATTACTTTTGAATGGTCAATGCTAAGATGTAGTGTTGCAGTGGCACAAATGAAGTGATAAAGTCAGTGAACTGACCAAGTAATGTCAATAAAACACCAAAATATATCGAAAGGTTGCTAACATTAGCCCAGTAGCTTATGATACCAGACCAAGTCTGTAGCAGCGAGGCTGTGTTTCATTGCTAAAAAAATCAACCTTTTATTTGAGAGGACTGTACTTCATCTTCTTTCAAGGGTTACATAATCTTGTCTTCAAAGCTAAATACTCAGGAGGAAATTCAAAGTCTCACCGGAGCTGTGTGAGTATTCTCTCCTCTGTAGCCAGGTAGTGGATCCTCTCCTCCTCCATCCCAGCTCTCCGTCTGTACACTGCCTCCTCAGACTGAGCCAGCCGATCGTACATCAGCACCACCAGCTCCTGACCCGCCATCCGCAGCATTGAGGTCACGCTCTCCTGGTTTGACAGCTAAGACACAGGGAACAACTCAGGAGTTAGGATTCAACAACAGAACCTTTTTTTTGCTTCGCTAGTGGCGAGGCCTGAGGGACGGCAGTGTGTGTCGGTCAGTCTGTCCCTCCAACACTTTGGTGCAAGATATTTCAACAACTACTGACGTCATTGCCAATAGATCTGGTGTGGATATCACTGTCCACAGAGGATGATTGTGATGGCCCAGGACCTAACATATACTGCAAGGCTGAAATGTACCTGTGATCAACACGATGTACACCTGATACCAGGAACTACTGTTGTGTTTTCTGCATTTCCTTGTACAATCCTGGGTTACATCTTAGCAATACATTATCCTTGAATCTAAATAAAGTAAAAGAAATCAGACTTTATGATCAGATCAGTGTGTAACTGGTCCAAAAGCCGTACTCAGCAACCGTAGAACTAATATTATGCTGATACCATAAAAGATAAAAACACTATGTTGACTAGCTACTGTAGAGAGTATGTTACTGTATGTGTAGTGTACTGTGTGTAAAAGAGAAAAAACACATAACGGTACCAATCCTGCGTCCGTTCGGATTGTTCATGTATTTCTTGTTACATGCTATAAATATGTGTCAATACAAGTGGGTTTGTTTTTACAAAACTCCTCTTTACATAACAGTATTTTTGATGACTCATCTTGTAGTAAAGGTCGGTTGTATAAAGCATGTGATTTGAGCTGACAAGCTAACCCCGTCCTAGCAGAGCAACATGTGAGTGAGAGATGTGCGTTTGTGTTTTAGCCGGTAAAAACGGTATTCACATTTCTAAAGAGTATTGTTAAGGTCTAATGTAGTACTTTTCAGGTGCAGGTTAACAGCTACAGCTCATCATCTCTCTACAGCTCTGTAATTGTGCTGCATTCATAAAGCCACGCCCACTTTGAGCGATCCAATCACATCTTAAAGATTTGATCTCAATCACCCTTACATTTTGTGTTTCACTCAGAAATGTGTCACATGACTGAAGCTAAAGACTCTCTAACTTCCCTTTCACTGTGTACACACAGAGCCTGAACATCTCATGGCCTCTGGTGGCTGGCTGCAGTACTGGTCATAAATACTACCCCTCCATGGTAGCAGATGGGACGTGGGCCAAACTGAAGCATCTGAGTACACATGAAATACATTTTTGTCATTCTTATCACACTGCTGTTTGTTTAACTGTTTGGTTTGAATGAGTTATGTGATGCTGTAAAAAGGGGGTGTGATGTCATGATTCACAGCTACTCTGAAGGAAGTAGTTGGAGCTGGATGCTTTGGGAAAAGCAAGTAGAGTAGGAACTTTAACTTTCCATAACTGTGATTGTCTGTTTTCAAACATGGACTGTATATAAAGATGTAATGATGTAATTTCATCATAGATATATTTAAAGAGACAATATGGTTAATTGTTGTGTCTTTCTAGCCAAAAAGCTATCGTGGCGCTAGTGTCGGTAACGCTCGGCCCGGGATTGGCTCGGGCGGATGCACGGGCGGGACCTTGATACTGCGGCTCCTCTAGCCAATCACTACAGCGCAGACTCTAGCTCCAAATGATGTCAAACGGGCAAGATGACAGTTCCTGCATGCGGAATATTTTCATTTTTGTGTGGCAGGAAGTTGTGACACGTCATTCATCTTATTTACAGTCTATGGTACACCACCAGGTCACTTTTGTATTTGTTAGTGTGTCACTTTAAGGCTAACACAAACCTGTATTCGCATCACTGCAATCCACGTACATACAGCACAATGTAAGACTGTCCTTTCCTTTCTACAGTCTGGTCATTTTGCATCTGTTTCAGCCATCATCATGATGGTGATGATGATGATGATTGATGATTGATGCTGCCTTGATTCTAACCAGTGAGTGTACGGGGTCAGTACCTGTAAGTGTTTGAGGTGGTTGAGTTGCAGCCGCAGATCACACACATCTCTCTTTGCTAACACCAAGCTCTGCTGTAGCCCGCTGTCAGAGGGAGGGGCCGTTAGCGTCAGAGGGGCGGGGCTGAAACTGTCAATCACAGCAGCTGGGACCTGAGGCTCAGATGACACTCCTGAAGGTGAAAGAAAGGTCATTATATTCAGAGCATAAGTATGTAGTCGGTGGCAGGTAATGTCACCATCTGTTATAATAAGAGGATATCTCACCGGCTCTGTTGAGTTTGTGTTCAGTATTGTCACTGAAAAGACACACAGACAGAGTTACATAGTGAACATAACCATCCTTGGTCTAGCCACTAGTACAGTGTACAGAACTCATTTCATCTTAGTACCTGAAGACTTGTCCAGTACAGGTCTATTCTATAACCATTATTAAGAATTATTTCGTGGTTGCATCTAAAGAACTTATTGGATGTGCTGCTGTTGGCTTAAAGGGATGAAGGCAGATGGAACAGACCTGACAGCGTCCTTGACTCCTGGAACATCTGGGCCCATAGACAGAGCATTGTGCACCAGACCAGCTAGACTGGCTATCTGCTCCTCCATGGCTTTCATCCTCTCACTGCAAAATACAAACACATGTACTGTATCCATCACATTTAAACATGAGGTAGCTTTGTAAATCATACGACGTGTTTCATATTCAGCTCTTTAATTCCACTGTATGCAATGCTAATGTATGAGATGGATCTCATCACTGCGTGGTATTTCTCTCAAGTCGTTTACAGATCTTGTACTTTAGGACCGATATAATAATTATGTGTCTTTATCAGGGACAGATCTTTTGTAATAACAACAGGGACCACATTCTACCAACCAAAACCAACACTGTTGATTTGAATCAGCGGATTTCATTCTGCTCTTGCCCGCTGCATTTCAAGTGTATCCTTGAGGTCTAACAAAAAACAAACAATTTGGTCACCAACTTGTACTCCATAGCACGACCAGTGGTCAAAACCGCACATGGTATTCTTAAAGCACTTGTTGTTTGAGAGTCAAAAGTGAATTGGTATAAAGAAGCTAAGTTTGTGATAGCGTTAGAATTCTCGAGGTGTGAAGATATCCTGCAGGAGGACTCAGTGGAATGGTACTGAATACACACCTCGTTAAGTGCTCACTTTGAAGTAATGAAGGGGATCTCAGCTCACCTCTGGACTTTGCCGACAGTCACATGACCCTGAAACAGTCTCTCAGGTTGTCCCAGCGGGCTGTCCATAAAGACAGACGAGGTAGAGGAGCCACTTCCTCTGCTTCTGTTCACGATCTCCACTGTGGCTCCGTTACTGTCCCGCCGCAGGGACCGGCGAATAGGGGACATCCTCTCCGGAGACACCAGGCCCACCCCTCCAACGATCTGTCCCTCTGTCATCCGGACTTCATTGACTCTGTGAGGGGAAGGGGGTGGTGTTTTGGTTCCCATTGGAGGAAGCTGGCTGTCTCCATACTTCCTGCTTTTCTGCCTGGATGGTGGTAAAACAGCTGGTTACATGGACAGTGTGCCGGGTCCCCACTGGTAAAAAAAGATATTATTGTATTCCAACCAATTACTGATCAGATCTTCCTCCCTGTTCACTCTCCTATACTCCTACCAGAGCTGGATTATCTCACTGATGACACACATTAAATCACTTCAACAGGCTTTTATTGTGAAGCAGTTACAGCAAACACAACGTATTTGTCACTGAGGTTAGAGCTGACAGCAATAATCTGTAAATCTGTCAGGGAGCAGCGGACCAGTGAGCTGTTAGAAAAAGAGCAGCACACCTCCCACCGCTCTGACTGCATCCTGCTGTTGTGTGGAACACTGTGTGTGTGCGCAGCATGAAATGAGATAACAGTTGTAATTATCACGGACTGAGTTTGTTTGACTGCTCTGTAAACTGATACACCAGCTGCTCTAACATTGGCTAGAGCAACAACTGGAAACTCTGTGTGAAGAGTATTGTTTGATTAGATAACCGTGCAATGCAGAAAACGTGTTCCTATTGATAACATGATATTGGTTTCATCCATGTTTTCCAGCTCTGAAAGAGGAAAAGGCAATATTAGGCAAACCCTTGTGGATCTGCAGACCTAGCAGAGACAGGTAGTTACTGTCTGCTGCAGTTGCTACGGTAGCAGGCTGAAGCTGGTGTATGACCTCTGTCATCCTCTCACTTCCTGATCTCTGCTGTCGCCTCCTGCTGCACACAAAGTGGAAGTGACAGAAGCAGTCACCTTCAAACACTCCCCGAGTCCAATTTCAGCAGGTTTCCATGTATGTGTCTCCAAAGACAGAAGTGTATGTGTCTGCATTGGGTTTTAAACCAGTGTGTGTGTACCTGTGGAGGAAGCGTGTCTGCTGCTCCAGGCTCTCTCCGTAGCCCATCAGAGGTTTAACGGAGGCCCGGTACTGCTGCAGCCCCCCTGGGATCCCTGTGACCCCAGCGTCCACCATGTCTGCAGCGAGAGACGGAGGAGCGCTACACTGGGAGGAGGCCATGCTCAGGCGACCTCCTCCTCCTCCGTCCTGCAGGGAGGAGCAGTAGGAGTCTGGGTAATGTGGTCCTCCTTCACCACGCACCACCAGGGCCATGCTCTTACTGCTGCCGGCGTCGTCATCTGACACACACACACACACACACACACACACACACACACACACAAACATCCGACGTTCACTGGATCAGACTATGATGTCATAGTTCTAAATGTAAATATATGCTGTTAACATGTAATGTTACAATCTGTAGTTATGTGTAGGGCCGATAAAATAAGCCTCCTGGATCAGTGTCTAGTTGTGCATGTGAACGTTTTTAACATGTGTTCATGTTTATTAAGTGTTGTTTATCTCAGGCTCTGCCATGCCATGACAGTCTACATGTCCCATCAGATGAGCATGGAGACACACTGCGTATGAATCAAACAAATCCCTGCAGGTTTCTCACCAGGCCTCACGTCTCTCCTCTCCAGTATAGAGCTGCTGCTGGTGCAGAGGGAGCTGGATCGGCCCACCCCTGACAGGCGTTCCCGTGGTAATGTGGCGCTGCCCGGATCCACCATCCCCGTCCTGCCCCCTGTGCTCCCCCCACCGTAAGCCATCCTGGAGGGGGACGAGGGCATGGAGCGGACCATGGGTGGGGACATGGAGCCCTGCAGGCTGTGCAGGGTGCTGCGGCCGGACGACGCCATGTGGACCGGACTGTGACTGCTGTACAACACCTCTTTGGAGATCTGCAAGGACCAACCACAGTGTCAATGTCATTGCTCAGACAAGTGAATGAATATACTTATTGAAGAGTTAATTTCCTCTCAACAAAATTCACCAACCCAAGAAAATGTCCACAGACAAAAGTGCTGGACTGTACAGTATAACCTCCTGAATCCTCTCAAAAACAACTTGTTTAGGATTAGAGAAAGCTCATGGTTTGTGTTCCAATGTGTTAAGGTTAAAGGGCTTTTATTGTCATGGAAACAATAATAACCACGTGGTTATGGTTAAAAAAAAACGCATGAGTCTGTAGGTCTGCTGTGTGAAAGCCTGATGTCTTGTTGACCCATCCATCCCGACCTCTCTGGACTCTGTTGCTCTGTGATGACGTCATCTGACGTCCTCCTTTGCTCCCATCATAGAGCAACAGCTCCCAGAGGGCTTTGTCACTTCAACCTAAACACATGATGTGTTGGGGCATCGGCTGAAGCTGATGCTGTCGTTCTTCTCAGGAGGAATTGGAACTACTTTAAATTCCATTTCAAAGCTGCACCAATCAATCTTCCACATGAACCATGGATCACATGACTTTGTGTAATGTGTCAAGTCATTGCGATGAGCTTCCCTCAGCTTTACAAAGTGTTTCGCTTTGGTTTGGTTTTACAGTCGGCCAACTTCCCGTTTGTACCTCGTCTTAAGCAGCAGCAGGGAAGGGAGTGTTTGTTTATCTGATACAAAGATTAGAAAAAGTAGCCAGGAATGCACATTTCATGCACGTATTGTTCATGTTCACCCTCTCAAAAGAACAGCCTCAGAAGACTTAATCTCAACCTGTAGATAGAGAATGAAAAAAAAGCAACAGTATTTGGATTGGTACATGTAAATTTGTGCCAACTGAGGGAAAGCTTGTTTTAATGTGACGTCTGCTAGGTGTGCATGAGATGAGGAAACTGCAGGCACGTCAACAGACATGCTCCCAGAGACCAAAACAAACCCAGTGCAGGAAAAACTGCTTTTACAGAGAAGCCCTGTGTAGGCATGCAGGTGTGTGTGTAGGCATGCAGGTGTGTGTGTGTGTGAAAGTTGTGCACGCACTGTGGGAAGCCCTCCAAGCGTCGAAATGCCCTGATGAAGACAGTGAATCAACATGTGTGAGATCAGATTGACTTCAAACAGCTCTGACAAACAAACTGGCAGACTGTGACTGGCAGGCTGATCCAGGAACAGCCAGTTCATATGCTGCTGATGTGGAAACCTCACAACTGCTTGTTTTCGTTAACGTAATGTCTTCCCGGGCCATTACCTAGTTGTATAAGGGCAAATGTTAGTTTGCGTATCATTGATGTACAGCAGAAGGTAATTTGTGATAAGTTGTTCTACAGCCGCTCTCTATCAACGTGCCCATTGTACCAGTAAACAGGCCTAAACTTGTTGCATTTCTTTCAAAACAGGCTTAGTGTGGTCCCACTAAGCCTGTTTTACATATCAGGTTCTGCCATCACGGAGCTCTGTCAACCATTTCATCAGAAGCAATGAGCACGAGTATCCTCATCGTACTCCTGTTCTGCCGTTACTGTTACTGAAACTCAAACAACTCTTATTTGGAAATCTCGAAAAGTCGAAAGATGCCAAAAATGTCAGACTTTATTTTTGACTGTTAAGCTTAAAAGATATTGTTGAGAAGATGAAGGAAAAGTAAACTCCAGATGCACTATAATACTCTCTGTCACCACCTCTCAGGATAGAATGAGGCACGGGGAAATGCCAGACAGGCTCACTTATCTTAACAAAAACAATCTGAGGTTCTTTTTTACAAGCATTGACAGTGATGATAAATCCCACTTCTACATGTCCCGTGATTTTTCTCAAACACGAAGTGCAATTAGAAAGAATATTAACCAGACTAGGCTGTATAATATGTAAGATTTTGGAAAAAGGTTAATAGTTTCTGTAAAAACACCAATATATTTGAGACTTTGCAGTCAGGTTACAGAGATCACCACAGCAAACTGCAAACTAACGTCACGTGGTCGCAATCATGCAAGTCATGATCACTATGGAGCTGGGACATCAGCCACCGTCTATTCCATCGACGCCTCCAAAAGTCTCAAAAGTCACGTTCACGAATGAGCTTTGAGCAGTTAGGAGGGCGTAGGCAGGGCCGAGCGAGCGCTCATCACGGCTGAACGCTCACCGGGTATGCTCCATGCACTGGGTATCACGTGCGTGCACCAATCTTTTTACGTGAACGGGTTGATATGAATGATATTATTCCATTTAGCTCTTACCGTGTTCCAAACATGAAGCGGTCTATAGCTGATTATTGTAAAGAGCAATACGAGGGGAGAGAGGAGGAGGCTGGTGGGGAGGGAAAGACAATGAAGGTGCAGATGGGAGGGACTGACTAAGCCATTATGTCATTGATTAATGCCAGTGGTGGAAGAAGTACTACGTTCTTTTACTGAAGTGAAAGTGCTAATACCACGATTAAAAAAAAAAAAAATGTCCTGCATTCAAAATATTACTAAAGTAAAAGTATGTAAGCGTATAATCAATCATCACCTGTGGACCTTAAGACTTATTTCTTTAGCCTGGCTTTTACTTAAAGTGCCTTGTCATTTATTGACTTACTTTGTAAGCCGCAATCATTGGCTTTCATACTATCTCCATCTATTTTAGTGACTTTTAATTATTTCATTGTTAATTGTTGTAATTGTTACTGTTGCAATATTGTATTGTTGTCTTTTATTTACTCGTTAATTTTTTCTCTTGCTTTGTGAGGCACTTTGGGTGTTAAGTTGAGAGTATCTGGGCTGAGAGTATTGTATTTCACTTCAATTAATTCTATTTCATTTCAATAGCTCAATATTAAAAAATCATACATTTCTGTAAATCATGTTCTGTTCTTGGAGCCTCACATCTGAAAACAAAACAACGAAAAACTACCAACTGGCCAGGTGAGGAGAAACACTGGCAGAAGGTATCGTGAAGCTGAAGTTCAAAGACTCCTGATGGCACTCAGCGCTCTGCCGTCCACATCATCAGCACCTTCATCCCCAACATCAGCGCTGTGGTTCCCATCAGCACCACAGCAGTAGCTTGTACGTGTGCAGGTGGCTTTGACGATGCTGTCAGCAGTCAGCTTTGACACACAAACAAAGCTTAGCTTTAATCTATCATTATTTTATGAAGAACGAGCTGGCACAAATATATTCCGACCTGTCATTGAACAAGTGTTTGCAACTGTTGCAAATTCGCATCGCGGGCGAGTATTTAGCAAGCCTCAAAAGCTCACACTGGGTTCACCTTCCAACAGGACAATGACCCACAGCACACAGTCAAGAGACAACGGTGAATGGCCTTGAGTGGCCCAGCCAGAGACCGGATTTGAACCCAGTCAAACATCTGGAGAGAACTGAAAGACAGTCTCCATCCAACCTGACAGAGCTGTAGAGGGTCTGCAGAGAAGAATCCAGCTGTGGTTTTACCTACGAATACTTGTGTCAATGTGATGTTTCAGTTTTTTGTCTTTAATTAATGAGTAAAACCATTTATTTTGTGCCGTTACATTCACAGTACGGACTGTACTACACTACACTGAATCAATCTCTGGAAGGTCTTTCTGAAGTTTGGCCTCCAACAGTGTCACTGTGTCTGTCCTTCTCTCGGGTTCCCACCATTGATCAAGTTAACAAGCATTTCTTCTCTCCGTGCTACACACAGCAACATCACGACACACATGCAACTCAGAATAATAGAGCCCGATCTTAGATGGCATTCACTCCGTCCCATTTAAATCAAGCTTAACATGCTGTATGCTCTGCAGCTCTAATCTGGAAAATCCACAAAAGAGAAGAAGTTTAAGATCAAATTGACATTTGAATATGTGTTCGAGCTCATCGGTGAAGTTTGATGTAGTATGATGGAGCCTGACTGTGTAATATCACATCATAAAATATGCAGTTTGTTGATACAACTGGGGTCATGCACACATTTAATTAGTGAATAGCAGATAATCACATATCAGGATGTTTCCATCAGTCAAATCCATCTTCAACAATCGGTCAACTAACAGATGGAAAGTTACACACACACACACACACACACATGCCAAACATAGCCACAGCCATACACTCTCCACCACTAACAAAAGCTCCCACCTACTCAGCTTTTACATGTTTCCAAACTCACTGTCAGCCATATAAATGGAATAATGTTTAAGAGCGTAATCAGACGTGCAAACTCAGTCGAGGTAAAAATAAAATAAAAATGGTGACAAAGATGCAAACTGCATTCTGTCCCTGATTTTTGTCTCTGGCAATGGTAGAGACAAAAAATGGTAAATAGATTGTACTTGTATAGATCTTTTCTAGTCTTCCGACTACACTCAAGCGCTTTAATGTTGTCATTCACCCATTCACACATCTCTTTATGCTGTGAAATGAAAAATGTACTAAATGCATAGACTTACAGCAAATAAAACACGTGCATAAGGAGGACTTAAGCTGACAAAATTCAGCTTTAAGAGTGCAGCTGGCGCTCGCTGCTGAGACCGCCCGGTACCATACACCTGAATACTGGACTCTGCCAGCTGTCATACACACCAGACCAGAGTCAGATGGTACACTGCTGCGTGTTAGCCTGTTAGCTCGTTAGCCTTAGCACACGGGCTAACGAGAGTTTGGAGTTTGCCGAGAATTGTCACTGCAGTTTGTTTGATAGCTCGGCTACTTTTAGTGCCAGTTCGTGTTACTGTTTTGCATATGAATATCACACAGTCATGGTTTACAAAAGGTATGCAATGTCACCGCAGTATCAATCATCACAACTGAAAATCTACATTGTCACTATGACAAGAATATATAGGACTTCAACAACTTGGTCTAAATGTGCCCCTTTTGCCGTTGCCAGCCTGCCCTCCTCAACTTCATTATTTCTCATTGTACAGCCAACAATAAATATGTATTCTGCCCAAAAAAAATCCCAGTTATCGTTTTCTTCCTGAAGCAAAGATTCCATTTTCGTTACTGATCCCAATGTGGTTGGTGAGTTTAAGTGCAGACACCAACAGCAGACAGACTTCTCAGATGTACAAACCTCTGCTTTTGTGCCAGACTTAACTCAACCAGCTGTAAACCAAATGAACACAGCACAGTGTGAAATCAACTATGAAAATTGACATCAGTCAAGTTTACCACACAATAGACACTCATTCTAGAGGCTCCACCAAAAACCTAACCAGACACCGATCTGTTTGTCCTGTAAACCTGTTGACTTTGTGAAGCTCCTTTTCCAAACTACAGAAAAACACACGTTGTAAAAAGCGTTGTGATAAAGTTTGTGCCGCTTGTGACTTACCTCCGCATGAACACAGTCAGAGACCCGGTAGCTGTGCAGATGAGAGGTGCACAGCAGCCTGCATGACTGAGGGGGTGCCACAATTCAAATCCATCTCGTTATTTCAAAAGGGCGTTGATCTCTAAACCTACACAGAGCCGACGTGTCATAACACATAAACCGTTAGGAGTCTGAAGAATCCCACATAAAATAAAGCCTGCAGTGTAATGTCCAGACCAGTTACACAAGGAGAGCAGGCTGTCAATCACATCGCTGTTCCAGCACATAATTGAGCTGACACAGATTCCCCACAAAAACAAAATCTGCTTCCCACTGAGAATCAGCTCTCACAGCATCTTCTCTCCCACACGCACACGCACACACGCACACACACACACACACACACACAGAGTTCGTAGCCCCTGAACAGTTATCATTATGTAAACGTGTCTCTGTGTTTTTCTGCATATATTTAGTGACTTTGTATCTTTGGCTGGATGATAAGATGAATATATTCCATCTTTAATGACATTGTAATTGAACATGTGACCTATGATGTCCAGCCCACCCCTCCATGGAGCACATGCTGTTTTGAACAGTATTTTGAAAGATGAATAAATAATTGATAAAATGAGTTAGGCTGAGTGTTTTATACTGGTGCAAATATGATATAAACTGTTTCAAGACAGTTTTAGTACAGCAAAAACATTCTACTACTGTTGAGTATAAATACCTTTATTGGACTCATTTTCAACTGGCACATAACGTTTTTTTATGTTTGATAGCCTGTGTACCCGTAGTACAATTTCTGGGACTTATGATGTACAGTGACACTGATCGTTTTGAATGTCTGTCAATTTGTAATATTTAAGGATACAATTTCTGAGAATATTATCTTTTATTACCTTTTGAGTCAAGAATGCAAACTTGCCTGTATGCTGATATTTCGAATTTTTAAATGTTGAAGTAGTAGAACTGTAAATACACAAAAGATGGTCACTGTGGTAGTTATAATGCATAAGACATACAAAGCTAATGAACGAGGACATTCTGTTATTTAGTATGTGACCAGCAGAGATACACAGAAGGCAGAGGACAGTGAGGGAGGCCCCTCCTCCATCAGCATCTTATCTGTTCGACTAGCGGGAACATGAAGCATGGACATCGTCAAAGTCCTCCTGCAGCAGCGGCAGCTCACATCCATCACATGACCTCCAATCAACTGCTCTACAAACGGTGAAAGGAAGATGTCAATGTCTCCCCAGTTGGTCACACCGGTCATTTAGTTTGTGATCACTCCTGTTAGAAGGCCAACATCCGCACAGGACGACAACAGCGGTCTTCTCTTCAATCAGACACTGTGTTTGGCCACGCTGGGAGTGTCATGCAAACAGAAAAGTGTCTCACCGTTTGCAACAGTTGTATCATGAGACATCATCCACTATCAGATTCATGCAGGGACACATTCCTGGCTGATACCTTGTATTGTGAATGGTGTAATTCTACTGTTTACCTGTCAAGACAGACGATAACTTCAACTTTCCAGAGTTGTCTCATAGCGTCATAAACCGCTGTGCTTTTCTGGATATATTTTTAAAAAGTGCAGTAATATCATATCGGTGGGCTGGTCATTTACATCTTCACAGCAGTAGATGGACTGAGTACCAGTCCCTGTGGAACAGTGAGCATTTTTTGCTTAAGAACATGTTGCATTATGGGTTGCTTTAATGCTGATATGCCGACATATCTTCATGTCCTCGTGTATAAGGTAGCTAGCCCAGTTTAACCTACAAGACTCTCTGATGGCTCCTGTGACGTGTTTTGTTGCCACGGAGGAAACAAACTCACGAGGAGCAGAAACAGACTTTGAGTGTATGAGTCACCTTTCATGCAACCAGGAATTACTGGTGTCATTCAATGTCACGATGAGAAGCTAATAACTGTCAGAGAAAATAACACCCTCCCCTTCCCAAGAGTGAGGACTAGATTAGCCAAACACTGTGATCGTCTCACCAACCCAACATTACTGCCAAGTCCAGAATCTTTCCCTGTCAGACTGTAATCAGTGCAGACAAACACGTGAAAAGTAAACCGGCACAGCAGAGACTATTTCAGGCTATAATTAGGGGTCAAAACAAGGACATAGTTTTTACTGATTGGCCCAGAGGCAACGCATCCCTGATGTTCCACATGTTTACTGTGGCCTTGTTCCTGATCTCCCACACACAGACCACTGTGTGTTCAGAGGGGCCATGTGCAGTGCAGAGCCACAGTATACTCTGTGATGGCTAACATTTATTCATACATTGTCTTCTTATTTTTCCTGTCATATTCTACACACACACACACACAACATCATGTTTGCAGTATCTGCATATTGTTGCGGTTTAGTTGTGGTCACTTCCTTTTTTTCGGGTAAATAAAATGGAGACTTTGATGTCAGACATATTCCTCTGCTGTGTGTTCATGGAACATTTCTCACCTTGAAGAGCGGATGAAGGGACGAGAACAAGACTCAGAAAGATGAGACAATCTGACAAAGTAGGGAAGTGAAATTCAACGTGCACTGACCTTTTTGTATGTCATGATAATGTTTCAGAGGAAAGCATTCTCTAAAGTAGTGAATGTATTGAATTTTTCTAAAGATGTTCAACTGGCCATCAGACCAACATGAGAGACTCACCAGGAGGCAGGATTACACATCTATTCATGGGACATCTGTCTGCTTCAGACTTTAAATCAAAGACCGTACATGTCTTTGTCTTCACCAAATCAAATCCGAGGGGTGAAAATAATGTCTTTACCTCGATACAAATGTATGTTTGTAGACAATAGTCTGTCGGCAGCAGCAGCAGCTCTGCTCATACTGAGCTAGAATCCTCTGTGACAAAAGACCTGGACCTCTGAGAACAATTGGCTTTATGTTTCTCTATGAAACAGCAGAAGAAGGAAACACATGTGCGATGTGAACTATTTAAATATGAGTTTGCCACATCTGTCATCTATTCCAGCACCGATCCCCTTCTCCAGCAGGGGGTTGAAGGTCCCAAAGAGATGGTTTCACCCTGCTAGCAGTGGGCTTCTGAGACTGTGTTCATACCAGTGTCATTAAAAGCTCCCTCATTTCAAAAAGAACACTGTGATGATGTAACAGGGGTGCTGACACCGGGGGGGCAGAGATGCAGGTCACTGCCTTTTCTCCTCTTGTTTAGGACTACTTCTTTCTGACTTGTTAGTTATTTAGATCAAAATAAAACTAAGATGAAATAATGAGAAACTATGCTTCTTATATAGTTATCACTGTCAAATTATTATTGACGCAGGCTAAATATTCTTCAACTAGCTTTATATATATATGTTGAAGTTGACACATTAATAACACTTTAATGTGATGTATAATTACAGCAGGTAGTCGGATACATGGCTGGTTGTTCAGCTCTCCTGAATAAATACATAATGTCCGTGTTATAAATCACCCAGCATTTCTCAAGCATTTCTTATGTCTGAAACAAAGTTGAGAACATGTGTTGGCAGTACGGACTCTGCGGGATACAAAGCACGGTACAGACGGCAGCAGACTGAAGAGAGTTTGGCTGACTCACCCGGCCCTCTGTGTTGGTCGGCCTGGCATGGCGGTTGAACACGTGTGCTGGGTCTCTATGGTAAACCTTCAGACAGGAGTGGGATGTGATGTTTCTGGAAGCAAAAAGAACACAAAAGTGGACAGTTTAATGTGCGTGCGTGTGTGTGTGTGTGCGTGGGTGTGTGTGTGTGCGTGTGTGTGTGCGTGTGTGTGTGACGTCCCACAAAGCGATTGAAATGGCTGGCACACTGTATTTAGTATTTAGGATTTAGATCCAGTTCCAGTTTGAGCATGTTGAAATCAGTGAATGATGTGCTATCTAATGAAGAGACAGAGTCCATCTTATGACTATGCAGTGTGCAAAATGTCATAAAAACTCACTCTAAATTTAAAATGCTATTTACTGTATTGTAAATTCCTATTTTGAGGGAAGTTTTACATTCTTCACATGCAATCATTAATATTTCACTGGCTCTTTATTCAACATAGAGTGTTGAACACCGCCTGTCCTCTGTTACCAGCTGCTGAGACTTTCTAAGCCAACCCTTCTCCTGGTCGTTACATTGACTACTCATTTTCCAAAAGTATTATGTCAATCACAAATGTGCCTCGAGGGGCTTCGCAGTCTGTACGGCATTAGACACCCTCTATTCAGATCAGGAGAAACTCCCCAAAAAAAGACTTTTACAGGGAAGAAACCTCAAGAGGAGCAACAGAAGAGGACAGACGTGCAGTAGATGTTGTTAGTACAGAGCTGACCAACACGGTTTGGTAAATCTAGACAGATTGTAAAAATATATGAAGAGCATGGATCCAAAAAGATGTCGAGCCACTTTGAGGTGTCGCCGAACAGATATAATCTGAGCCACACCACCTCCTCTCCACCATGGAGACCTGGACAGGGGACAGACACAACCTATCCCCTAGATATTTAGGGATAGGTTGTGTGTACACTGCTGTTGAAAAGTTTGGAGTTCGAGTCTCTCTGATTGAAGAGGTTTAACCTGTGATTTGTTCAGCTGATATTCCAACAGTGGCAACGCTAGATTAACCGTCTATTTCTATTGGGAAGTCTGAAGAAGAGCTTTGCTAAAGTTAATTCAAGCTTATTCTAGACTGCTTTTATTGTGAAACTATTAACACTGAAACAGGAAGCTGTTCCTTATTTGACCAAGGACGGCTTCTTATTCAACTGTCGCTCAGAGGATCTTTGTCTCTTTCAGTTGCCAGTCTGGTTGAACCATTGAACAGCGTTTTGTTTTCCATCTGCTAAACTAAATAGAATCTATTAGTAAGAAAGCATCAGAGCCCATTCAGTCATACAGAGTAGTCCTCTGAGACATCTGACTGGACTGTACCATACGTCATTTTAGGTTCACCCTGTTCTGTCTCACAGTAATCTAAGAGGATACCATGTTGAGGGACTACAGTATGTCAGTTTAACTGTCAGTTACTGCGTCAAAAGACCTCACCTGATATCCTCCAGGTCGTAGTAGACGTTGCGGTTGGTGTCTTTGATGTAGATGGCCATGTTGGGAGACTGCAGCATCTTCATGGTGAGCTGATGAGGGTAGGCGGTGACAAACAGAGCCTCCAGAGCCTCCTGACAGCTGATCTCAACCGGCATCCTCACCTGTTTTGTCTCCTCCCCATACTGCAGGTACAACACACCTGACACACACACACACACACACACAGGTCTCTTGCAGCATTATACAGCGTGATAGTACTAACACATCCATCAATCTGAAAGCACCTAGTGACATAACACTGTATATAAACCAGTATTACACAATATACAGTGTTGTATATGTATACACATCACTCTAACACAATGCCGGTGATTTACAGAGTGATACTCTTGTATTTGGTGGTTGTTGAAAATCTTGTATAGTTGATGTGGACCTTACACTTGACGCTAATTGAAGAGATCTTAGGGTGTTTATTCTACTGAGTGCCATCTGTGGCATCATGTCCTCATCCGCTATGTAACAACGTAATGCACCATAATGCACCTGGTGGCTTTGATTGAGTTGAAAAGAAGGCAGTAGAGAACAGTTACCTAAGGCCTTGAAAGTGACCACAGAGTTGAAAATTCTAAGCTTTAAAAAGATGTTATTTATTGATGGTTTGTCAACTTTTTATCTCTTCTTTAAAAGCCATGCACACCCACTCAGGTGTGTAGAGCTTTTAAAGATTCTGACGGCAGAAATAGTTGGTTTGATCCCAGTGGGCAAGCACCGCCTATACAACACGTTACATAACCATTTAATATGTGGATGCTTTTTAAAACACTACTTTGAAAGGACAGCTTTGGGTGAGAACACATTGCCCTCTTTGTCCCAACTCCAGAGTGTGAATATGAAAGTTGTGTGTGTATTAATTAAACCAAAGCCATCATAAAGATGTTCCTAGCCGAAAATAAAGCAGATCATAATCTTTACTGTACTCTACTGCGTTTCTTTTCTGTACTCTACTGCGTGTCTTTACTGTACTCTACTGTGTTTCTTTTCTGTACTCTACTGCGATTCTTTTCTGTACTCTACTGCGTTTCTTTACTGTACTCTACTGCGTTTCTTTTCTGTACTCTACTGCGATTCTTTTCTGTACTCTACTGCGTTTCTTTTCTGTACTCTACTGCGTTTCTTTACTGTACTCTACTGCATTTCTTTTCTGTACTCTACTGCGATTCTTTTCTGTACTCTACTGCGTTTCTTTACTGTACTCTACTGCGTTTCTTTACTGTACTCTACTGCGATTCTTTTCTGTACTCTACTGCGATTCCTTTACTGTACTCTACTGCGATTCCTTTACTGTACTCTACTGCGTTCCTTTACTGTACTCTACTGCGATTCCTTTACTGTACTCTACTGCGTTCCTTTACTGTACTCTACTGCGTTCCTTTTCTGTACTCTACTGCGATTCTTTACTGTACTCTACTGCGTTTCTTTACTGTTCTTTACTGTATGACCATATTTTCAACACATAGCAGGCTCTACAGGATATCCATGTCATATCTGTTGGCAAAAGTTAATGATATGTCAAATGTTTTAAAGTCCCAAAGGTTTTATAGTGAGATATCACCGTGGTACTAGCTGCTTATTTCCTTCTGGCCTAAACTCAAGATTTATAAGTACTAATAGTAAGAATACAGGTGTTAGCCTTGTGCTTGTGTATGTGTGTCTACCTACCAGGTGGCCTCTCTCTGGTCTGGCTACTTGACCGGCCCACAGGTAGACTTGATCTGGCTTTACAGCCCCTTGTAAAGGGTACTGTTGGGGGCAGCACGTCTCCATCAGACATGGTCTCTGAAGCCAGAGGGTCCTGCTGCTCCACCAAGCCCAGCACACCTGTACAGAGGGGGCTTTCAGTGGAGCGGGGACTCCTCACCTGGATGGAAGGAAACAGAAGAAGAGAGCAGACTGAATAACACAAAGATTCTATGGGACTCTAGTCCTGCAGCGAGAATGGTGGCATGGACATTCAGAACAGGCCTGAATGATGATGAGACAGCTTTCTTTTTAAGGGTAATATGATGTTGTTACAAGGAGACAGACATTTTCACAGGAGCTTCTTCCACTGCTGTCAGGCAACACAGGAAAGCTTCATGGATTTCATTTTTTATTCACAACAAGCACTCACAAGTCTGTAACATCTACAGTGCTTGCCAACATTGTCTGTATGTCTCTAGCTGTGGCAGCCTTCGGCAGCCAAGTACACATGTCACCTGGTGGCATACTCTAATATCAGTAGATAGTTTAAAAAAACACGCAGTGTTTGGCTTGGACACAGTTAGTTCACCTTCTTCTCTTCACCTCAGGGCGGTTCACCACACCACAGTGGCTTACGATGGCATTTCAGTGGAATGTAACATAACAGGGACTGCTTTTAAAAGATTATTTAAAAGTTGCATACTAAACAGGAAATAAGAGTGCTCATATGAGTCCACCACTGAGGACATAAAACACTAATGTAAAAATAAAAAAATCTCTTAACCAGCTAAACTACGTCAGCACTTAGGTAGCGGTTAACTGGGACACTGGGTTTCAATGCTGGCACTGCTTAGGCTGAAGGGAGCTGGTTTAGCCATACTGGTGTTGTACTGGCTACAGAAGGAGGCTTCTGTCGTCAATGACTTTGCAGAACGTAAAGTGATGAGTTTAAATGAGGGGTATAAATTCTGATAGTTAAGATTCTATACCAAAAGTAGGACACGTTCCTTCTATAATTAAAAGTCAAGACATAGATTAGTCCTAACCGATCAACTCTAAGGGCTCTGTTTATACAATCTAAGGTGCACGGACCGAGTACATTTAGGGCGTGTCCAACTCCACTTTTGTTTGAATTGCATAATCTGGGCGGAAGGAGCACAGTCAGGCACAAGGAGCAGAGGGGTTGTATTTAGTCTCTAAATTAATCATAGGTGTGTTTTGGCCAGAACATGAATTAAACCAATCTCCCTTTAAAAGCTATGCATTGCTATTTAGATAAAGGTTTCAGTAAATTGTAGAAGTGAGAGGTTTTCTGCAGTGGAATTGTTGTTTTTGAAAGGCTAAACACCAACAATTATGGATTGAAGCAGAGTGTTTCATTGAATAACAACTTAAGGGATTCATGATTATGATATGTTTCTATCTGCATATGGTGAATGGTGAATGGTAAATGGACTTGTATAGTGCATTTTCTAGTCTTCAGACCGCTCAAAGCGCTTTAACATTCACCCATTCACAGCACTTCACTGTCCACAATTGCTACCAGCTCAAGAACACAACAGTTTTACATCAACTCCAAGACAGAGGTCACATTTCAACATAAATAGTCCAGTCATGATGTAACTTGATCTCATATAGATTGCAACAAAAGCTATTTTACATGTATCGCTCCCCTAAAGGGTTTTAATCACAGTTGGGCCGTATATACAGTATATGCTACATGTATTCATAATAAATTAGATTTGGAGTACTCTGTAATTGTCATGAATAGAATGAGATTTGGGTAGAGTAAGACCAGATCTGGTAGAATGAGACCTATCTGGGTTGAATAGGACCAGGATTGGTTTGAATAGGACCAGATCTGGGTTGACTAAGACCAGATCTGGGTATATTTGGGTGTTTGTTTTTTTGACATGGTCAAATCTAGTATGTACAACAATGTAGGCTTTTAAATATTGCTGAAAAGGCGTTTTGGTTGGATGATATTTACGCGATTTTGGAAACTTTCACTTCATACGATACTAACATTATATTTCTCTCTTTCAGAACATACTGAGGACACAAAATCCAGTTTGTTTTTGTTGCAATCCATGTGAAGTTGACCCACATTTTAATGTAAAATGCCTGGACTATAATCTGATGACATGCAGCAGTTCTGTGTTTTGGCTTTGAGCTCAGTGCTCCATGTTTTGTTTACCAGATACATTTGTTGAAGAGTTTGTTCCTCAAGCTTTTTTATAGAGCAAATGTGTCAAAGATAGAACGATAAAGAAAGGAGGCTACTTGAGGTGAAGAGACAACAGAACACACCAGAGGCCAGTTTTGCCAGCCTTTCTTGAGTTCCAACCTTGGAACCCATCGGTTCTCCGTATGGAGCCGATAAGCATCTGGGGACCAGGGGCTTTATTTCTGGGGTTCCAGTGTAGCCGGCAGATACAGTTGCAGTTTACGAGCTCATTTTAAAGAACGCTTCTGATACCAAAAATCTTGTCCCGTTGTCGACACATTCTGCATATGTATGCAGAATGTGTTTGTAGAGATTATTTGAGTTAAAAAATGGCACAACTTAGCCAACTAAGTTTACACTTACTAAGTAATAACTAGAAGTTTCACCAACTTAGCACAAAAACCACCATGGAGCTGTGGTTGATCGGCAACTGACTGGACATGGATGAAATAATTTTAGCCAGAATCACCAGATTTACAGAGGTTAATGTTTAAATATCAATGCTTGGTGCATATGGTTAGACGACCTGTTAGTGTCAACCTGATTCTAGTTCCACATGTTCTATCTGCTCTATTGCCATACACCAACTCTCCTGTCATTTCAGACCCTGCCCTGCCAGCATTCCCACCATTACCCATCAGCTGATCTCTTCCACCCTACTGCACACCTTGCAGTATATATATTCTGCCAGTTTATATAGCAGCCCAATGAACTGAGCGTTCCAGCCATCATCTGACTGTCTGATGCGTGCCTCTCTTGTCTGATCCTTCCTTGCCAGGTCTCTTGATTCCTGCTTTTGGTTCTGAAACCTGGTAATACTGAGCTGCAAGTACAATGTTTTCATCACTTATGGAGATGAAAACACAGAAATACAACTCAAATTGAAATAATTCTTTGCGGATAACAAGTGGGTTAGGCGTGTGGTTGGAATGGTTAAGGTTAGCGTGGAATGTCAAAGCGGGTTCCGAAGTACGAACACGTGTTTGTGTGCATGGATCAGTGAGCTGATCAGAGGCGATTGGTCTGATGTGGACTTCCTCTTGGCAGCCCAGCCGTGTGACGTGGTCCTGAAAGCAGACACTCATCGATGCATGGCCACTGAAATTATGTTTGCAACCTGACGTGTGCACAAATGCCCGAACGCAATCATACATACAGACGTATGCACGCACATAAACACTGAGTCACTACACCGAAATGACAAGGGAAGCCACACTGGGCTGGATAGTGCCTTTGGCTAACAGGCCACACATCCACTCTGAACCTTCTTCTGTCATCACACACTACACGTGTTCTGCTGCTGAGCATCATATCTCATGCATCTGTACAGATGCATGAGATATGATGACGAAGCTGTTCTTGACAGACACCATACTAAATATTAGCTGGCTGTTGTGTCTGTCTGTCCTAGTGTAAATATTCAAGCTGTGTGCATTTAACCAGTCATGCTTTGTGTAGCCTGATGAAGAGAGACTGAAGAGTAGAGACCAAATTATAAGCCAGCTGTGGAATCTTCAGCTAAGAAAAAAAGAGTCTGTTACTGTCACTTTAAGTGCAGTCGAAAACTAGCAAAATCATGATTTGAAGACGGATTGAAGAAGAACAACTCCAGCCTTTCAGTTAGGGAGGAAGGTATAGAAGGTATAGCAAGCACAGCGGTATGAACTTGAATATACCGTGCTGACCGGTAGATCGTAGAGATGCACTTAAGGGTCGGCTGGCGCCTGCCGATCAAACAAACGTGTTCCGCATATGATAGCTTTAAGTCGACACACAGCCGCACAGACACAAGGCGTCGGTGAGTGAATAAGACATAGAAGACAAGTTCATTATCCGTACCAACTGCAAGTCAAAATAAGCCGTGGAGAGACAACGTAAAAAACGTTTGGAACAACTAACTTAATCAGATAGTTGCGATATAGTCATTGATTGCCATCGGGAGGCTCAGTGACCGGCTTATCTGCCAGCTGACAGCACAGCTACTGGAGGTTGTGTTGGCTGGCATGGTGAGGTCACGCTCTGCTCGGTAAAACCAGCATGGGGCAATGGTGAATTTAAATGCTTTCATGATGTCTTTAAATGTTGTCTTGTAAAATTAGGTTTGGCAAAAAACTTGAATAAATCCAGTTGTTTGCAGGAGATGTTTTCACAAAAATATAAAATAAATATTATGACCTATTTAACTTCCTAACACAAGCGCTAAGCAGCTTACATAATACGTGATTAACCTACCTAATAAAAATGACTAATGCCAAGCTGTATTTAATATATATTAACTACATCAATAAAAATACCATGAGATATTTCCTAAACATTTGACTTGCGTCGTTTCACTGTTAATAAGTTCAATAGATGACGATAAAAAGTTAAATATAACATTAAAACGAGTCTGTTGGTTGATGCTATGCAGTTGTCATGCCAGTGTGCTACACCCTACAAAGCAGTTACATTGGAAGAACAAAAGATCAAAAACTAACTACAAAAAGAGACACAAAAAGACTACAAAGACCAAAAATCACACAAATCACCACAAAGAGACAGAAAACCACAACAAAAAAAGATTAAACAACTATAAAGTCTGGCCCATTGTCTCATAAACCACCCGCTACAGTTCAATCCAGCATGCTAACAATGTGCACTGGGGTTGTATTCGTCTAACTACTCCTAGTGCATTGGATGAGAATGTCTTAGCTGGCATTTGGTCATTTATCAAGTCATATATGTTGTGTAATAAACATGCTATCTCGTATGTAGTACTTATAAATGTCTCGATCGCGTTTATTTGGCCGTGATCCCGATCCAAGTTTTTACTCGCAAAGCTTTCGTGCAGACGCCACGATTCACTTTATAAACTAAGAGTTTTGAGTTCAACAGGAGAGTACCACTCCTGAAAGCCATGCGAAGCAAGAAAGAAGACGTCTCTGTTGGAGCGGAGTACACCGTGTCCACTC